TTGGAATGGAAATTTATGAGGGGCCATCTCGATAACACCTTGACTCATGTCGACCCGGTAAATTTATCTTGAAAAATGGGGCAGACTTGGAGTACAATTTGCAAAAATTCCAAAAAATATAACAGTCATTTCTGTAAGTCACAAAATATACAGGTATAGATACCCAACACCTCGACACACAATTTCGTAAATGAGAACTTTTGTATAAATAGAGCAGCCAGTATGAACGGGATACATAACTATTTCTTGCAATTAGTAATTGAAAGGAGGCAGACTCTGAGTACACTTTGCAGACATTGTTACAATTTACACAATATCATACAGGCGGATACCCACATGTGGACACAAAATGCCATAAATGTGGAACTTTTTTATAAATAGACCAGCATGTACGAAAGGGATATTATTATCTGCAAAAGGGGGCTGACTCTTAGTGCACTTTGCAAAAAACAGTTATTGTTTTAAAATTCGCAAACTATACAGGTTGTAGATACCCAACATCTAGACACAAACTTTCATAAATGTTTTTCTTTAATTTTGTTTTTACAACTATAGCAGCAGGTATGAAAGGGATACACAACTATTCCCTGCAATATGTAAATGAAAGGGGTGCAACTTGTAGTACATTTTCCAATTGTACTCGTTATTTTGGAATTTGCAATAATAATATAGAATTGAATGAAATGGATACACAACTGCTTTCTGAAAATATTAGTTGTAAGGGGGACACACTCGGAGTACATTTGTCCACTAAAAACAAATATTTTTTGAAATTTGCAAAAGAGTAAGCAGAGACATCCAACATCTGGACACTAAATCTCATGAATAAATGAGGAGATTTTTTAAATTTAAATATAAAAAGAGATGCATGTATGAAAAGCATACACAAATATTTCCTGCATTTGTAACAGAAAGGTTATTGAAGGGGGGGGGGGCAGACTCTCGGTACATTTTCCAACTGTACCAGTCCTATTTTTGGAATTTGAAAAAAAAAAACTTGGACACAAATTCTCATAAATGTGGAAGTCTTTTTTTTTACAAATAGCAACAGGAAGTAAGAAAGGGACACACAACTTTTTCCTGGAGTAATTTCTAAACATTTTCACTTACCTCATGAATTGTTTTTGACTTACCAAACGACGAATTCTTAACTTGTTCACATGTTCCACAGGAAAAATCCACACAGGCAGTACATAACAAGAAATCCATGACGCTGGAGTTTGAGATGTTTCACGGTTTGAGTTCATAGTTCAACTCGTGTATTTATCTCCGTTTTTTGATTCACATCTTCAAGTGCTCGCGTTGCTTACTCCGAGTGAATTTGTCCCAGACAAAACAAATGCACATTCACAGTTGATTACGGTTTATTTACCTTTCCTCAAAGTCCGTGAAAGTTCAGCATTTCACTCACAACAATTCCATGGACACTTGGTGTGCTCGGAATTTCAGAACACCGACAGGGTGCACCACAGCCGTGGCTCATTTTCCAAAAAAAAACACAATTCACTGGAAGTTCAGTTAAAGTTTCTATTCCATATAAAGTTTAACTCACGACACATGTATGATATGAAGTCGAGAGGTGAGTGCAGACAGCAGAACTCGGGGTGGAGGGAAGTCCAGAGAGCAACGGGCTACGGCAGCGTGGAATCCGACCACCGCTTGAGCCATCGTGAGCCGTCGGCACAGCCGACCCTCGTGGCCGCAGGCACACCGCTGAAACTCGTCTTATTTCCCAACGAAATACTCCACGGAAATCCACGACTCCACGCTGAAGTCTTCCTCACATTGTTTCCTCGGAGATAGTGAGATGAGAGCTTAGCTTTGCACATCCGAAAAATCCGCTGACAACAGTCTCTTTTTTGTGGACAAAGGAAGAGTGCAAGTCCATTCGGTCCAAATTTTCAGCACAATTGTGGCATAGCAAACTGCTCCGATCTCGCGCTCAATCACAAAAAAAGCAGACGACCTATAGTGAGTGATGAGGCTAGGTATTCATTTTACACGAATGTTCATACGCGCTGGACTTTCTTACAAAATCAAAGGAAAATAAATTATTTCAACACAGTTTTAACTAGTCATAAAGCTTGTATGCTGCGTTCGTTAAAAAAAATCAAACAATTTGCTATTTTGACCAAAACAAATTCATCGTATTTGAATAAAACAGTCCGGCCTATTTTCTTAAAACGAGGAGAGATATCAAAATATGATCGGCCGAGTTCAACGTCGTGCCCAGGGCGTACTTTCTTGTCAACTCCGTTTCAGGTAGAGGTGGGAGTGTACTGCTCGACATGATGGGAACGCGGTTGTGCTGAGTTGGTCACGCGCAGCTCAGCGTCGCGAGTGATTCCTATTGGTTGGAAGTGGAACAGAAAACCGATTGATTGGCAGACGGGAACTGCGTTTGTTTACGTGGTGTTTTCAAAACCTCGATTTCGTTCCAGCTTCGGTTTAATCGATGTCAGACTTCGATATAAAAAAAGGTCTTTGAAACAAAAGTAATAGGAAAACAATGAGTTATGTTCTGATTGCGTAGTGGCCTCATATTATAGTATTAGAGTAATACAAGCAGAACGAGCTCGAGGACGCATAAAACCAGGGTCAAAAACCTAAAAACAATTTCCCTCCCGACGCTGAATCGTTTAAATTTCCCTAAATTTTAATATCTCAGAATTTTGAACCGATCTCATATTTTTTTATTGGAAGAGGGGCAGCCATCGGTTCAAGTCCCCAAACGATAACAGACAGTGGCATATAAAAATAAACAAACAAAGTAAACAAACAGTCGCAGTTAGTCTTATTTCTGAAAGTACTTTGGGGCAAATTTAATGATTTGGTTAAAGCGTAAATCACCACAACCATATAAAAATGAGTTTTTTCTGCATAAAAGTACAAAACGTTGATTTTTTTTACACACAAATCATTCATGCTTGATTAAAATAGGAATGTTAACTCTTATATAAAGTCTTACAAAGTATTTTATAAAAGATTCCTTTCTCTTTAGTAACAGCACGTTTCTTTTCCTGTACATGCGATTGCCAACACATGGCTCTTGACCTACAGGTGGCGTCTTCCAGCCAAAAAAAACCCCTAACATTTATCTCTTCATACATAATAGACAAGTATTTCAAGTTCTAAAACATATTGAATGTTATAGGTAATAACACAATGGTTAAACAGTTAAGTATACAATGGTTTAAACAATTAATTTTACAACTATATACTCAGAATAAAATGTTTAAGTATAGTTGTGGTTGGGATTATTATCAAAGCAATAAAATACATTGACTGCCACTTCCTCCATCTACTTGTTGGCTGGTTTGGAAAAAAAAAATCTCTTCTGTTTTAACATGATGTACACAAGAAAATGACCCAAATAAGGCTTGTACAGGAATGTGCATGTCGAATGCTGCAGCCCTCATTTACAAGTCAAACACACTGATGATTTACACCACTTAAATTGCAAATATACTTTTTCAATCACAAATCAAATCGCAAGTATAGTCACAAGTGACATTAAAATGACTTGAAAAATGTCACAGTTCATTTAGATATTCGTTAATAAGCCTCTGTACTGATGAGGTCACACTTTGTTTACATGTGCACTTTCCTATGGAGCCAGTGGGGCCCACGGTCCACTGAGAACCATAGGAAAGCACACATGTAAAAAAAAAAAGTATGATGTTATCAGTACAGAGGCTTATTGACGTGAGACTTCATAATAATAATAATAATAATGCGGTGCTCGTAGAGCGCTTTATACCAAAGGTCTCAAAGCGTTTCACAATTATTACCCAGTTTCATTAGGTCATGAGACCAGTTTTTACAGCAGCTCGAGATCAGCGCATCCTGGTCCCCACCTTCACATGTACCCATTTATACTCCTGGGTGGAGAGAGGCAATTATAGTAAAGTGTCTTGCCTAAGAACACAAGCACGTTGACTTGTGAGGACTTGACAACAACTTCAAGCAATCACCCAGGAAAGTATTAAATTTTTAGATCAAGGCCGAGTTGGTTAAATCACATTTTACCAATTTATCACCTTTTTTGCAGCATACGATTAAAAGCACAGTATTAATATCATACAAACATAAAAAGTAAACAATTAACAATGTAAGTAAAATCACCTTTGCACAAAAACATGGTTAAACGCAGAGTTAAGCGTAATATAGAAGTGTGGCTTAAAATTTAGAGAAGGATGCTTAAACTATATACCCCTTCTTTTCTTTATGTACACGCATTATTTCATGCATTATATGTCCAAAAAACTCCACAGAAAATGTGAAAAAAACATGGAAAGTAGGCAGTAAATCTACAAATCAAACTCAGTATGCTTACAAAGTGGCATGTCCAACTTGCACAAATCTAGTAAAACATTCAAATCGTTTTAGCATTTAACAATTAAGCAATCAATTTTTTTAAATATTCCTTTAAAAAAAAAAGGCTAACAAAAAAAGTCTCCGGTTTCTGGTATGGAGCTTGCCCAAAAAGTGGTGCGGCGACGCGGCTTTTTTTTTTTTTTACCTGTTTTTTTTTGCTTCAAATGTGGGCTGATGACTGCAAATGGTGCCCGACTAAACTTAGTGCAAATATTATGGGAGACCAGAGAGGCCACATAAAGCTTATTCTCGATCATAACCCCATCTAAAAACACGTTAAAATTGTGCAGCAGCAGGATTCCAGTCAAACCAGTGAGTTTGGCGGTTTTGAGACGTCATCTTTCATTGAAAAAAAAACTTTTTCATTTTGCTGACGCGCATGGCTACGGCGACGCGCACGCATACCAGAAACCGGAGACTTTTTTTTTGGCCTTAGCAATCTTCATCTTTATCCTGTGTCAATTGTTTCATATTTTTAAAGACTGTAATTTCATAATGTTTACGTACCAAAAAATATGGATCTCCGGGATCATCAAATACAATCCAGTATATAAAAATTGTTATACAAAATGAGAGAACATCAAGAGTTGTACACAAAAAGATAAACTGCTGCCAGATCATGTATTAAAAAATATATAAACTGTTCATGCCTTTTACAGTAAAATTTCAGGTGGTCTCAAACAAAAAAACAATTACAATTATATCACAGAGATTTTGAAAATCTTTTGCATCGCTCCCTTTTAACGATGATTATTTTTTTCAAAATGCCACGCCCACAAAAGGGTAAGACAACACCTATCCCCTTACCCTTCCCCCTTCCAAATTTGGTTCGTTAGTTCACTTTCTACTATATACAGTCGAATCTCGTAAGTACAAACTCTGTTAATACAAATTCTGGTTATAACAAACATAAAGTCTTAGTCCCGACTGTGCATTTATGTGCACAATGAATGGGACTGGTGTTCCTCTTAATACAAAATCCCAATATTACAAACAGTTTGGCTAGGTCCGAACCAGTTTGTATTAACAAGACTCAACTGTACAAGTTATGCTTCATCATATGTCTTGTTTATAAAATGTTATTGTTAACGTTATTTTTGGTGTCAAAATAAAAACCCCAACATTTAATTTGTTTTTGGAGGAGCTATAAATCATACATGTACATGTGTATGGGTAATAAGCAGTTTCACTGTATATGTGCCATCTTGGTTTACGGGGCAAAAACAAGACGCGTTGCTAGATGCGGGCGCAGTTTGGAATCAACACATGAAGGCTAGGGAAAGCATGGCGGCTTGGAAGCGCAAAGGTTTTTTGATTGACAATGTGACACAGCAATGCATGTAAATTTGCCTGGTCTGCAAGATGATGCATATTACCGAGATAGCGCTTATTTATCATAAATGGGATGATGAAACAAGAAAAAATGTTGACCAAAAAAACTTCAAATTTGTCTGGGATAATTACAATGAAAACTATCAACTAAATTTTATCTTCCTTTGAGCCTCTCAGTCTCAGTATAAAACCTTAACTATTCATTTTCATCAGAAAAATATCAACCTTTAGATAGCGCGGCTAGAAATCCTGGGCACAGCTAGCACATAGGGTATGAACATGTAAGGTACAGTGAGGTCATAATTATGTGACCAGATCCCATCGAAATGAGTCGTAAGGACATTTTTAACTTCTTAGTTTTCGCAATAGGGCACTTCACTTTAATATTTCACTTGTTGTGAAGCAGAGTTGTGATTGACACGCCAGTCACGGTCAAATCACAAGTCAGTCCCAGACATATCACAAGCCAGTCCCAGACATATCACAAGTCAGTCCCAGACATATCACAAGCCAGTCCCAGACAAATCACAAGCCAGTCTCAGACAAATCACAAGTTAGTCGCAAGTCAGTCACTGGCATAAATAATGACAAAGGAATGACTTTGTCACTGCTCATTTGAATAGGAACTTGTCTGCAGACTGTTCATGACAACATTGACTTGTACAGGACGACTTGAAATGACTCGTGATGACTTGATATTTATCTCCTGTCCAGAATACTCCTCAACACAGACATTATGTAAGGCCAAAAAAAAAGTCTCCGGTTTCTGGTATGGAGACATCATCTTTTATTAAAAAAACCTTTTTCATTTTGCCGACGAGCATGGCTACGGAGACGCGCGCGCATACCAGAAACTGGAGACTTTTTTTTTTTGGCCTTAGGGAAAAAACTTGACAATTTCTATTGATTTCCAGGATGGAAGATAAGGTTTAAGGACATGCAATTCAAAAGTAGCTTTGTGACATGGTATGTGTCAAACCAGGCAGAATTGGGCAGAGCTACTAATGGACGAACAGCTGCAAAATAACATAAGGGTGATTTTTAGCAATTTTGAGAAAATTTGTGATGCTACTCGTGTTTGAAATGTTCCGTAAATATTTCAAACTGAAATTTCACTGACAAAGTGTTCTTAAAACACTTTTAGAGAGGCATGTCATTTCACAAACTGACACTTTGTTCAAGATTTTGTTCTGAAACCGACGTAAAATTAGAGTGACATTTCAGGACAATCCGATTTTGAAACTTAATAACTTCCCTTTGGTACATCTAATTTCAATATTAAACGAAGCGGCGTTTCAAAGAGCAAGGTCCATAATTAACTAACATTGCAATAACTCAAAAATTGCAATAACTCAAAAATTGCAGTAACTCAAAAAGTGCCTGATTTTGACATACCACGTCATGTTTCATTCGGTTAGGTCATACAAGATACGGTGTACATAAAATTTGTGACTTCATCTATTCCGACATAGTAGGTAGGATAGAATGTTCACGAACTGCTTACTTAGTACTGGGTCCTGGTCAGTCTGACCTGTGATGCTTTAGGAGGGCACTTCGTCGCCAGTTTCATGAAGTTTCTTCCTGGGTACTTTACCATATGCTGCACAGAAAGTAAAAACAAAAAGAAGTAAGAAAATAAATTGAGATTACTTTTAATCCGGACTGGCATTCAAGCTCGGGCACTATCAGCAGATCGGGCTCAGCTGTAGCCGCTTTAAAAAAATCATTCCGTACAGTATGGTGTAGACTCATAACATTACCAACTGAAATCATTCCGTACAGTATGGTGTAGACTCATAACATTACCAACTGAAATCATTCCGTACAGTATGGTGTAGACTCATAACATTACCAACTGAAATCATTCCGTACAGTATGGTGTAGACTCATAACATTACCAACTGAAATCATTCCGTACAGTATGGTGTAGACTCATAACATTACCAACTGAAATCATTCCGTACAGTATGGTGTAGACTCATAACATTACCAACTGAAATCATTCCGTACAGTATGGTGTAGACTCATAACATTACCAACTGAAATCATTCCGTACAGTATGGTGTAGACTCATAACATTACCAACTGAAATCATTCCGTACAGTATGGTGTAGACTCATAACATTACCAACTGAAATCATTCCGTACAGTATGGTGTAGACTCATAACATTACCAACTGGTGAGCCAACACATTATTGACTGTGCGTAATAGGCAGCAAAGTACCTGCACATTCGCTTGTAGGGTTGATGCTATAGTACGGCAGGAGAAATAGGTTCCCATGCACCCCCTCCCCAAAAAACACTAAATTCCAAGATGATTTTTAGAATCCCTAGGACATCCGATTAAATAATTTTGATGTTGCCAGCAAAAAAAAATGTCCCATGATGCCCTAATTTGCATATTTCCAAGATGTGGCTGCCGTGTGAATAATTAAAATGCTAAGTGTCCTATGTCAGTGACTAATGAGCCCATTTTGATGATCTTGGTGTCAGAATTATACAATTTTGGGGTGCTGGAATCGATTTTTGAGGTTTTTGAAATAGCTGGAGGTCAAGGTCATGTGATTCAGGCAAAAGTCAAGGTCGTTTTGGTCAAAAACTTGTCATTTCATTTTTCCACCGGAATTACTTTTTTACCTTGCTCCTTTAGATATGGTAATAGAGGCCTACTTATTGCTTTACAAATTTCCCACATTATTCCAAATACCAAATCAATTTAATGAAAAAAAAACATGTAGCATTGTATTTTGGAGTTATGGCTCAATATTTGACCCCGTACCACCTAAGTTTTAGATATTGACCCAGTATTATGGAAATCTTAAAATATAGCCAGTGGATAAAAAGCTTACCGTTATATTTATTTTTAGGGTCATGGAATCAATTGATGGTGGTTAAGAAGTAATTTTTGAACTTCTTATATTTTTTGACATTTTATTTCAGGTTTTTTTCACAAGATGGCCAAACCGAATCTATGCTACCCGAAAATTGCAAACGAAAAAACCCAAACACAACCCAACCCGACTGAAGCGAAGGAAAAAAACCGACCCGACCCGACCTAAAGTCAGTTTCTGATTGGGTCCGTTTCAGGTCGGGTTTGCACAACATTACTTTATAAGAGCCCGTGCTACAAAAATACGCAAGCTTGCTCGGGTAGGATTCGAACCCTTGACCTCCTTCTTACTATCCAGCTTGAAGGGGTTAGCTCACCAATTTACACTAAACTCTTTTAACCCTTTACCCCCTGGAGTGATTTTACTAGGAAACTTCCTCACTCTTGCACATGCCAACACCTTATGGTAAACTGTACACAAAAACTGTTGGACTCTGATTATTGGTGGTATGCCAAACCCTGTGTAAAGCCCGGTTCATACATCACGCGAAACGAAAGCGAAGCGAAATTTGTGACGTCAACCATACATTCCAAGCGTGTCCACCATTGTTGACGACATGAATTTCGCTTCGCACATGCTTTCGCGTGAAGTGTGAACCGGGCTTAAAGCACAATCAGTTCACTATTGCAGTACTCTCTCTATTAGGTTCCAACCAACTGTGTCATAATGACGTGGCGTTGGAGTTTGATTGGATGGGGACTATTATTAGTGCTAATATTACACACATTGCTTTACTTGATACAATCAGACTTACACGACTTAGGATTGACTTTAAGGCTGTTTTTAAACATTTTCTTTCAAGTCTGCGCGTCCATCTGACTCAATTTCAATTTTTATTTCAATTTATTGGTGCTTCCAGGAAATTTGTTATGTCACATGCAATACATAGATAATTCATTAATATAATCCAGAAAATTTAAATAAGCAAAGTACTAAAAAAAATATACGATTACTATGAAAATAAATATTTAAGCATATCAGTCAAAAAGACAGATCCATAAAAAAAAAACAGGATGAAAATGAAAACCTGACTGCGTTGGAGATGAGAATAATAAGATACGTGTAGTTAAACTTTGTTAGTTGCATCGATGCTGATCATTGAGGAGACGTATGGAAAATGCTACAAATGAATTGAGATACCGGTTTGTTCTTGCCCTTACTGACTGAAATCTCCTACCACTACTAAGCATTTTGAAGTATGTGTTGAGGCAACCTCGTCCCCAGTGCTTACTTTATTTCCAACCGCGTTTCCAATAGTAGACCCTGGATAGGAAACTTTCTTCCTGTATCCTGATTGGATACCGCAATTGGCTAGTAATGGATTTTTATCGTGTACTTGGTGCTATATATTCACAACGTGCAGTACGTGTTTTCGCGATCATTCGTCCACGCCTTCTCGAAAATACTAATTCCTTTCCAATTTGCTCATATTAATATGAAATATGATACTGCATGTTGTCTCGATAAGATCGTAACAGTATGATTTCAAACATCGTGTTTTCGTAACTCATGCCGTGCTCGCGCTGCTACGAATTGACTCTGTTTTTACCCCAGACACCGCATACAAAAACAAATGCTAATGTGTAACGCATATCCAGGCACCAGACTGTTCCTCATTTGCATACGTGTGCAAAAATCTTGCACATGCAAATGATCCAATACCTGGGTGAGAGAGCAGGTAGTGATGGGCGCGTACTGCTCGACACCCTGGGGACGAGGTTGGTGTTGAGGGGATGCGCACCATTTCCCACCACACTTAGAGCCGTAGTTAGTACCCTCTCCCTGCAGACTTCATCCAAATTTATTCCCATTCCCAGAATCTTTGATGCTTGTTAATCACAACCCTTTTCACTTTGTCTTTGTCCTTTTTCATTGCTCCATTGAAAAACTACACAGTCGTGGATGATGACACTTTCTATGACTGAGGTGTAATAAACAGACTCATAATGACCCTATCAACAAAGAACGTAGCTTACGCAGGAAATAAACTCACCCTTTTCCCTCATGCCTCGGTCAAAGTTTTTGTAGACGTAGACCATGAAGCCGCACACAGCAACCCTGACCAGCAGGCCCAGCACACTGGCTATGATGATGGCTGCAGGAATGAGCTTGGCGTTCTGGAATTTATCCCAGTCTAACCCAACCTGACAGCACACCAAAGGGTAAAAAACAGGTATACCACTATTAAAGAGGTTGTGGAATGCTCGAAGACATTTCCGTCATTTTTTGGGTATATGTAGCCTAAGGTGTGATGAAATAAAAACGACTATTGTTTCTGTCATGAAATGAGTACAAAGGGTACTTTTGAGAGCTATTTTTCAGGTCCTGTTTCGACCCGAACGTGCAATTTGTGTAAAAGTCGTCGTTGCGGGCAGCAAACAAAACACAGTAAATCGTGACGTAATAAACAGGACTCCCGATGCAGAGGAGCATAAACGAGTCTGTTTATTACGTCACGATTTACTGTGTTTTGTTTGCAGCCCGCAACGACGACTTTTACACAAATTGCACGTTCGGGTCGAAACAGGCATGACAGGACTTGAAAAACAGCTCTCAAAAGTACTAAGGCCAAACAAAAAAGTTGGTCTCTGGTCAGCACACGCGTGGATTTTAATCATACGTGTCAATCTTTTTTTCCAAAATTTTCCGCGGTAGCTCCAACAGAAGCCTCTATTGCCGCACCTCCTCAAATTTGTGTACCAAGGAGCACCAAGGAATGGGAAATTGCACCAAGGCAAATGATCGAGGGCACCAAGGCAAATTATGGAGCACACCAAGGCAAATTATGGAGTACACCAATGTACATGAGGACACCAACAAATGCAAAAATAGTACCCCACCTTGTCTGTACAATCCAAGCTTGAAAAAAAAAAAGCCGCGTCGCCGCATCAATTCCGGAACTTTGGTCTGACCAGAGACCGAGGTTTTTTTTTTTGGCCTAACCAGATCTCCCCTTATTGCAGCTACCATTTAAGGCTTTCAAGCAAGTAGACCCAGGTGAAAGAGTAAGATTCCCCCCCCAAAAAAAGGACAAACTTAGAACTTTGGAGGACAATATCAGGATATAAGTAGGATTTTGCAGGTTTAACATGGTTAATGCAGACGTAGCTTTCATTGATACTCATCATAAGTCTCATTCGCTCTTTTCACGCTCCGCCATTGGGCATGCAGAGCCTAGATCTGGCAACTTCACCCAATAAACATAGCCGGTTCAGTGATCTGAGCCCCGACACGGGAATCACTGAACCGGCTATATTTATTGTGTAAAGTTGCCAGATCGAGGCTGTGCATGCCCATGGCGGAAGTGTGAAAAGAGCGAATTGTGACAACTAAAATCTTGAAAGTACAGTTGCAGGACACAGTTGCAGTACAGTTACAGACAACAGTGAATAGCACTGTTATGAAAAATATTCTTTGGAAATTAGGGAAAAAAAAGTAGGAATTTCGAGGAAAAAAGTAGGAAAATCATCTAGCAGTCTAGGAGCAAGGTGAAAAAAAATAATAGGAACAAGCTCGATTGGAAATATCTCGGAAGCTGCGGGCCAACGAATTGTGTTCATGCGAGAGTCACATGATTGAGCCATTTAATTTCTGGAAGGAGAAGTGTTTTGAGTTTAAAAATTAGGTTTTCGACCCCAGTGACCTCATGATGACCTTTGACCCCAGTTGGGTCATGTGACATGTTGGGGCTGATACTTTTCACAAAGTTTGGTGGAAATCGGTCAACATACGCAGGAGCAATAGAAAATGTCAACATGTGAAGATTAACAGAGAGCCAGGATGATTTGCTGAGCTGCTAAACTAGAAAAGTAGTAATGCTTGAAAGACTGCCATTTCCTCCTGGATACAAATGAGAACTAGTGAAGTGTCTTGCCCAAGGACACAAACTGGTCTTAAACCGACAACCTGCAGAACTACCCACAGGTCTTGAATCCTATATTCCAGACAACAAGGCTAAAGCACTCGGTCCGTCTGATTTGAAGCGTGCGATTGCAACCCCACGCCCTTGCACGCCTAAAAGCTTCCCGAGAAGTGCCAATAATTGCACGCCTGAATTTCCCTGGACCACAGAATCACACACCTAGAAAATCACACACCAACAAAAACCACACGCCTTTTTCCACACGCCTGTGATTTTCGAATCAGAAGGACTGAGCACTCCGCCAAAGAATAAAGAAGAGTTTGCTTGAGACTCGACTTGTTTACAACTCATCACGTTTGTCCCACACTTACATCCACCAGCTTGTAGATAATGTACGCTGGCTCGCACCAGCTGAATGCCAGGAGAACATACACCATGATTTTGTTTTCTTTATACATCTGCAAAAAAAATTTGGAGAAAAAAATATATAATTCTTTTGAAAGTCACCTTAGAAGGTCAATTTGTTTGTAGCAACTATTGGAATTGTGTTTAACTTGAATTAATTAAAAACAGTATAGAGAACCACCATTATGACCAGGACGCAGTGTGTAAAGTGTGCACATTAAAGGGACACTAGGTCCTGGAACAGCCCAATTGGGCTACAAAACGCGCTTTGAACAAGATGATGATGATCGGAAATAACTTTTAAAAGTAGGATATAAACATTCACACAACCATCCTTTCAAAACTGGGTGTTTTTGTGTTATTCCTGTATTATGCGTGCGAGAACGAATTTTGGGGTCCATTTTTGCGACCCCATCAATTCGAGCTGTTTGGATGCTAGTTGTGATTTCATTTGTACGCGTAAAGTGTTCGCCTTTTGCGGACGTTGAAGAAACCACAATTTTTTGCATTGGAGATTGGTCACCGCGCGCTGTTCCCGAGACACACAACGTGTATAGTGTAAATGAGAAGGACACGAAAAACGTATTCGTACTCTGTCAAGTCCGATGTAAACAAGCGGGTTTCTTCGTCTTTTCTCAGGAGCGGTAAGACATTAGGTTGGTTTCCTTTCAACCAGATGTTTGAAATAGGCTAAGTAAACAATCCAAAACATAACATTTTCGGGGATTTCAGGACATAGTGCCCCTTTAAGTTGAACACATGAGTTCCGGCTGTGTAGTGGAGGGAAACACCGGGTGCACGTACTGATTCGCACGTGTATGGCGTGGAGTACACATGTGTACGTGTTCTACATAACCCCCGAGATCACACAAAGGGAGAACAACAGATCCTTTCAGTCCTCGGGAGTTGGGCCTTTTGTTCAAAATGGTCCTCTATCGTATGGTTATGTGCTTAGTCTGTGGGAGAGTGTTATATTACAGGGACAAATGGAAACACAAAGTATTGTCCTCGAGAGTAAAGTAAAACAATAGTGGTTGTACATGGATGTGCACGATCATTTTTATTCTGAATATGCGGCATCTTTGTAACCATTGAGTATTGTACAATGCAAATTCATAAAATTTGCCTACATGTCTCTTTAGGCCAAAAAAAAAAGTCTCCGGTTTCTGGTAGCCCATGCGCGTCGGCAAAATGAAAAAATTTTTTTCAATGAAAGATGATGTCTCAAAACCGCCAAACTCACTGGTTTGACTGGAATCCTGCTGCTGCACAATTTTAACGTGTTTTTAGATTGGGTTATGGTCGAAAATAAGCTTTATGTGGCCTCTCTGGACTCCCATATATTTGCACTAAGTTTAGTCGGGCACCATTTGCAGTCATCAGCCAACATTTGAAGCAAAAAAATCAGGTAAAAAAAAAAAAAGCCGCGTCGCCGGACCACTTTTTGGGCAAGCTCCATACCAGAAACCGGAGACTTTTTTTTGGGCCTAATGGTGCACTTGACAAGATGAAAAACAAAGCATTTCTACTCACTGACAAAAAGCCCAGCCCACACCAGAAGATGGAATAGACGACTCCAACGACCAGCACCACGACCTCCAGGGTAGTCCAATCCATCAGGCCAGTCTTCAGGACCAGGATTACCAGGGTAAGCTGTGGCATGATGACATAATAAAAGTGACTTATTGCTTGCATTTACTAGGAACCTTCCTCACTCCTGCAAATGCCAACACCATATGGTAATTAAACTCTACACCCAAACTGTTGGGGTCTGTTATAAGATTGAATTTTGCATCGGGGTGATATAAATCAAATTAGGTTTTTGCCCTGCACCGACGTTTAAACACTGTATACTCAGTGTGTTACCTCCCGAGTGAAAGTTGGAAAAAAATCACTCGGGTGGGACTCGAACCCACGACCTCCTGCTTTCTAGTGCAGATGTCTTACCACTTGACCACCGAGCTAACGGAATCGGTTGGCTGGTTGGAATCTGATGTACATAGCAGCGGGTACCGCGTAAACTATTATAAGATTGAATTTTGCGTCCCAATTTTGTTGGGATCTGATAATGGTGGTTATGCTATGCCTTACCCCGGGTATTAACCCTAACCCCCAAAGGGCTGTTTGGGGGTCAAGTACCTAACCCCCAAAGGGCTGTTTGGGGGTCAAGTACCAAATACCACAGAATACTAAAATGTGCTGTGCACACTTGTATGGAAAGAAATTTATACGGTGTTGAAGTCTGACTGGATGGGGATTGTTAGGCTAGTAGCCTAGAATAAAAATTGTAGTGCTTATATAGCGCATTCAGTCATATCAACAATCTCATATCTCAAAGCAAATCTTGGGAATGCAAGCTGCAAATTATGGTGGTACATGTACGAGTATATATATGCCTATAACACCATGTAATGCATCACAAATCAAACACTTTTGACCTCTGGCTGTGCTCCATGGCATATGGGTTGTACGGCTGGCTGCCAAAGGCGCATTTACACGCCTGCGGTTCGACCCCACTGTAGCCCCGCCCTTCGCAATTCAGTTTCTCATCTCAGGCCTTGCGAATTTTTTTAAAATGTAGTTGCCCTTCGGGCAGAGGTTCTTGAACTCTGGTTGCCTGAATTTCATTTTCAGTTGCCCAATAAAGAACTTTAATATTGCCCCAAACCGAATGCCAAATCCTAATAATGTTTATGTACATGGCTGCTTTACCTGAAGTGGCTCAGGGCTCGCAAAATTGGCTGTCCGACGTCCCGGGACAACCAACATATTTTGCATCGATACTCAGCTGCTGCGCTATTGCCATTTTGCAAGCGTGCGTACTGTAGCCGGAGAAGTGAGACCGTGACACCGGCAGTGGCCGACCGTGGTTGCGTGCGTGTGTACGGTTCCCGCGCTCTGCGCCGCACTGGTACATGGTGTACAGTGGTCCGGTCATTACATGTATTATTGTAAACACACATACACACAGGATGTACGATGTAGCCGGACCGTACGTACAGATTGAGATTGACCGCTGTTCTGTTTTGGCTGGTACCCGTTTTAGGTTTATATACATTGATCTCAATGGGTTGATGCGTACATTACCAACATCAAATGGCGATAGCATAGCAGCTGAGTCAAAATAGCGATGATTATCATGATTATTGTTCGACGCTGTGCACATGGGATTCTGAAACTTTCGAAAATCCCATGGAATACAATAAAGTGTAAAAATGTGCGAGTATTGGTGGAAAAAAATGTGGTTGCCCGTTGGGCTGGCAACCTGGAACTTTTGGTTGTCCGACAGAATATTTTGGTTGTCCCGAGACGTCGGACAACCGATTTCGCGAGCCCTGCATCTGCGAGTGAGGATGAATTAGCCTCCCAAATTATTTTTATATATAGTGATGAATACAAATTGAGTATTTATCAGTGGGCAACTGAGTGCAAGCATACTGTGCTCCAAAGTGCACTCCAAAGTTCCTGAACGTGAGCTAAGAAAGTAATCATGAGTATGGGCTCCATGCGCCAACAAAAGAGGGCGTGTGTATACCACTTTTGAGAGCCCCTTGGATGAGACAGCAAGTGTGCGTACTGTACTGGCTCGCGCACCAAGTACGCACGTCTTGTTAATCCTGAATTTTCACAAGTAAACCATAAGCGTCTTCGCGCATGAGCATCATGCATCGGCGCGAATACATTCGAATTTAACTTGCAATGGTCTCCCAGACTAATCCCCAACCCTTGGATCATGCGAAATACGCAGTGGATGGACCAGGAACCAGTCTAGGTCTCCCCCAACTCTCCTTTTCTGGCAGTTGAAGGGGTACTTATGCAGGAAGCCCATAGCACACTAGACTGTCGGACACTAATTACCTCCAACTGAAGATCAATCTTGAACAGGCTCTCCGTGAAGAATATCCTGCTGCACAAATCTGATTGAAAAGGGAAAACGAAAGGGACTTGACTTTCCTTGGCATATCGTTACCATTTTCACAAACTGACATGCATGCGCCGTGTGCTGTCAGTTTGTGAAAACCACGTAATAATAATTTCGGCTTCAGTTTGTGTAAACGAAAATGTACGGAGTGCGCACATGTAGTACCAGGTGTCAGTTCTTGAAAACCAAAATAACGTGGTTCTGTTAAAAAATAACTCGCGTGAGCATGTGCCGGGCACTCACGCCCAACCGGGCACAGTGACTCACGCCCAGCCGAGTGTCAGTAACAATATATGCAAGTGATAGTATACAAGTGATAGTATATCTTTTTTATCAGCATGTTCAAAAGCAATCAATAACTTAGAACTTCATTCATAGTTATAACATACACTAGAATGAAGTAGATGGGGGTTTCCATATTATACCCTTAACCAAACCTTACATGTAACTCTAGCATTGTATTTTGGTACCTTGCAGCTCAATATTTGCTCCGACCGTCCTGAAGATGAGGTTCCTTGAGAGGTAGTACTCTCTGGCAATGATGGAGCCTAGGACAATGTTGACTGGTCCAATGGCGACAACGATGATCAACCTTGCCTAGAGGAAAGAGACAAAAGTCCATCACGACAAGAACATTCTTTTTGAAAGGGCAGGCTTCAGAGTCTGCAGACTAGATACAGTACCTAAATTTGTCTTACAAGCTCTCAACGTAGCATAGGGCTCGACGTTATTATGGTTTGGTATGACCCACCGCCGCGAGAGGACGTTATCCAGACCAACCAATATCGCCCACAAACCTGTCAGTAGCAACGTCTAGGGAGATTTGTAAAATTTACTACCAATTGCAGGCAATTACGATCCATTTTCAGTCTCACGCATACTAAACACCACAGAAGAGCTGACCGGAGAAGTTGCACAAAAGTCTTGCTGTATCTTGCATAAATTTAAGAGTTTGGTTCGGAACTCCAATGAAATGTTTTGAATGCATGCTGCACATATTAGGCCAAACAGGTGCGCGCAATGCATATTACACAACTGATACGAATCTCCCTAGACATGTTTAGTGGGCAATATTGGTTGGTCGTGATAACGCCCTCTTGCGGCAGCGGGTTATCGCAGCTTCGGGTTATTGCATATCAAACCATAATAACGTCTAGCCCCTAGACTATGCTACATTGAGATCTTGTAAGAAACATATAGGTACCGGTACACGTATCTCGTGTGCAGACTCTGAAGCCTGCCCTTAGAGTCTAAAGACAATAAAATTCTTGCATGAAGGCCCCCCCCCCCATTGTGCTAGCTATTGTCCAGATAATCTGTCACTGGGCAGTTGCTTTGTTCAATAACGTCCATGATGGTTTATCCATTGAAGAGGGCCTCGAGAGTTTACATTGATCATCATGTGCTTGGATCTGACTGTTTGCGCAATTTCATGTGTACTCCAGTGAAGGGGAAACACCAAATGGGAGCTCAGAAACGCATTTGGAAGTTGGAATGTAAAAGTGAATTCTATTTTTGAATTCAGGTTCAAACTGCGAGTTTATTTCAAAAACTGAATTCAAATTCCAATTTTTTTATTTAGAAAAAAAAAACTTCAATAGCTAAAGATCACCATTCACATGAACATAATGTATGCAATAATAAGCCATTATTGAAACTGGAAAGCTTCAATTGGGAAAACGAATTCACTCACAAGCTTGATGTCCTTCTCATACTGCTTGAGCGGTGGTTGTTCTGTTGGCTGTTCTGCTGGCGATGGGTTGATCGTTTGTGCATAATTTACAATGCAGTAGATCATCATAATCAAAGTGCCAACGATGAAGATGATCAGCTCATAAGGCCGCTCTCCAAAGATGCCGTTGAGAACGTAGAAGAGGCAGAAGCCTGAAAAAAAAAATACAGGACAACAACAATGACAATCAAATTAGGTTTTGCCCTTCACCAACGTTTTTTAAACACTGTATACTCAGTGTGTTACCTCCCGAGTGAAAATTAGAAAAAATCACTCGGGTGGGACTCGAACCCACGACCTCCTGCTTTCTAGTGCAGATGTCTTACCACTCGACCACCGAGCTAACGGGATCGGTTGGCCGGTTCGAATCTGATGTACATGGCCAACCGATCCCGTTAGACATCTGCACTAGAAAGCAGGAGGTCGTGGGTTCGAGTCCCACCCGAGTGATTTTTTCCAACTTTCACTCGGGAGGTAACACACTGAGTATACAGTGTTTAAAAAACGTTGGTGAAGGGCAAAACCTAATTTGAACTATATCACCCCGACGCAAAATTCTACAATGTTACCCATTTCATCATGAATATACTGGCCATATATGGGCTCCATGCGCCAACAGAAGAGGGCGTGTTTTTATCTCTTTTGAGAGCTCCGTGGACGGGCGGGACACATGGCATGGGCGTACTGTATTGGTTCGCACGCAAAGTACGCACGATTCCTGAATGTGCAAAAGGCGTCAGGCGTCGTCGGCGCACGAATACGTTCGAATTCAACTTGCGATGGTCTTGGAGACTAATCCCCACCTCCAATAACTTTGGATACATTCGAAATACGCAGTGGATGGATCGGCAACCAGTCTAGGTCACCCCCAACTCTCCTTTTTTGGTCGTTGATGGGGTACTTGTACACAGAGCCCATAGCCAGTATAATATCCGCTAGAAAGTCCACTGTTTAAAAATGGCAGCAACGTTCTTCATAAGGGCAGTCTCTGGGCTGACGAAATTTCATGTGGACTGATGCATGGGCATGATAACGGGTGACATTTGGGCCGTGCCGAATATAATAATAATAATAATAATAATAGTGGATATGTATAAAGCGCACGTATCCACCAGGACTGGTGCTCATGGCGCTACATCATTATTACCCCTGCTCATTGGGCCCATGAAACATTCCAAATACCATCTCAGCTCCCTGGGGAGTATACAGCTTGATGCAGCCTGTTAAGCGCAAGGAAGCTAATTCAATCACAATAACCATCTCTGCCCTCACAGGTACCCATGTACTCCTGGGTGGAGAGAAGCAATGAGTGACAAAGTGCCTTGCCCAAGGGCACACGCACCATGACCCCGCCAGGACTCGAACCCACAACCTGCAGCTTGACCCGCAGACCACGGATCAGTGCCCTTAACCACGAGGCCACAGCACTTGAATATACTGAATATTCGATCATCCACCCAACATATTCAAAATAAAATCTTTGATTCAATCATCAAAATATTTCAAAAATCTGAACAGTGGCAGAAGATGATGAAAAATGTTCTTGTTACTATTTCAATCATATTTAAGTTGCATTTATTGTTTGTGATGCCACACAGTTGTCAAAAGCCACCAATTAACACGAATGATTTCAGAGCTTTCGCAAGGAACAATTGCTCAAATTTCTTCTTTCAATCTGTAATCAGTCATTCCACTACCTCAAAAAAAAAACAGGGATATATATACATGATGTTCTTTATATAATTGTATCAAGGTCTTTGCCAATTTTCAACAAGTGCAGGTGTACCTAATTCCCATCTGGCTGGCGCAAGTAAAACGTGATCAGCGCATTTCAAATTCTTGATCAAGTTTAAGTAAGGATAAGGCCAAAAAAAAAAGTCTCCGGTTTCTGGTATGCGCGCGTCACCGTAGCCATGCGCGTCGGCAAAATGAAAAAGTTTTTTTTTCAATGAAAGATGATGTCTCAAAACCGCCAAACTCACTGGTTTGACTGGAATCCTGCTGCTGCACAATTTTAACGTGTTTTTAGATGGGGTTATGATCGAGAATAAGCTTTATGTGGCCTCTCTGGACTCCCATATATTTGCACTAAGCTTAGTCGGGCACCATTTGCAGTCATCAGCCGACATTTGAAGCAAAAAAGTCAGGTAAAAAAAAAAAAGCCGCGTCGCCGCACCACTTTTTGGACAAGCTCCATACCAAAAACCGGAGACTTATTTTTTTTGGCCTAATGGAATACTAATTTTATTATGAAAAATGCACAGCACTAGCGAGGTGGTGTAGACTGCACTTACTGAGAGTGAGTAACAGGACGATGGCGAATGTAACATCTGGCGAGTCCTTTTTCAAGTCTACGATCCTTTCTACAGTGAGACCGGCCGCCCCCAGAATGCTGAGGACTGCCAATGCAGTAAAAGCCCACTCCTTCACTGTCAGGCTAGATAAGGGGCGTCTCTGTGATGAAAACAAATGTGATGCGATCAAGTTTAATGAGTCGTTTGTCAACCCCCGTCAATTTTTTTTTATTACAGATTTTAAAAGAGCACAATCTCAGCATTACTGCTGTGAAAACTGCATACTAATACCATCTTTGGTTCAAAAATTATGGAAGTCGGAGCACCAAAAGATGTGATGAATTTGATGTGATATGAAGTGGCAATATTTTGACCTGTATCTCCTATTTTGGCTTGTCGACCCCGGTCAATTTTTTTTTTAATACAGATTTTAAAAGAGCACAATCTCAGCATTACTGCTGTGAAAACTTTATGCTAATATCATCTTTAGTTCAAAAATTATGGAAGTCGAAGCACCAAAAGATGTGATGAATTGATGTGATATGAAGTGGCAATATTTTGACCTGTATCTCCTATTTTGGCTTGTCGACCGCGATCAATTTTTTTTTATTACAGATTTTAAAAGATTTTAAAAGAGAACAATCTCAGCATTACTGCTGTGAAAACTGCATGCTAATACCATCTTTAGTTCAAAAATTATGGAAGTCGGAGCACCAAGAGATGTGATGATTTGATGTGATGATGAAGTGGCCCTATTTTGGCCTGAATCTCCAAATGAAATTTCTCAACAAACGACTCATGTAGCTTGATCACATCACAAATACAAAGGGTTTTGGTCAAAACACAAAACAAAAATATTTACTATTGAAGGTAATACATTTGCTTTTGCTGTAATATTCAAAAATTGATGGATTTGGGGTATTATAAAGCATTTTTTTTTTTTAAACAAACTTGTTTTGAAGTTTAGTGTTCATAGATCCTGAAAAAGAAAACAAGACAAAACATGATGTTCAAATGTTGTGGTCTGGTTCCCTGACCCTCCTTCAGCGGAAACAGAGCAATTTATAGACCTTGGGGAATTGTCAAGTCACGGAACCAGACTAGCTGGTTTTGCACCCTTTCTGGGATGTGAAACCGATTGCAAACAGAATATGGAGGCAGCATTTTAAAAAAAAGTCATTTTTCTTCCCAATGATGTTCAGCTGGCCGTCGTTGGAAATTGATAATAAAATTCCACAATTCATGAAAATGGCAGCACACCACAGTTTCACAGGATGCTTGAGACTAACAAGGTATTTCATAATAATTTAGTAGTTTTTGAACCTTTTGCCAAATGATGTGACTCGGGTCGAGTCCGAGTCAATAAAATTGCAACTTGAGACCGACTGGACAGACTTGATGAACACAATTAACACTGCAATGATGAGCCGATCAGCGTGGTTACCCTCAATGTATACCTTTCCAAAATAAGTCTCCACAATCTCGGCTTCCCTGCGCACCCCAAGGTCAGCGAAGGTCACCGGCTCATCATTGAGATTGGGGTCGGTGTCTGAGCCCGAGGACCAGGCCTTGCTGGATTTAGTGGGGTCTGTCGAAGCCATGGAACCTGGAAACACAAGCGGAAAAGAAAATAACCAATTTTGTTCACTTCCTATCTGTAACTCAAGTTTTCAGGAGGATTTGAATACTCTTTGATGCCACATCATTAAGGGGAGTCAGGTTGGCGTAGCGGTACTTTCCTCGCCTTCCACCGCTGTGACCCGGGTTCGAATCCCGCCTGGGCCAACATGTGGATTGGGTTTTCAGTCCCTACCTGATTCGGTGGGTTTTCCCCAGAATATTCTTCTGGGCTTTTCCTCCCACCTCTAAAACTGTAATTTCTTCTCATTGTCTTCTCTCCACAGGTTTCTTCAGGCTTGCGAGCTACAGTGCCTAGGGCGCTTTTGAGGAATCCTTGGTTTCATTACCAGAAATGAATAATAATAATAATAATAATAAGTTTCCAATATTCTGGTATCACTGTTACATGTACATGTATGCTTCAATTACAGGTGTATAAAAAAGGAAACCCAGAATGAATGTAAATTATCAAAAAAATCTAATGAATATTTTTAAATAAGTTGATGCATGTGAAACACCAATGTGTCCTCTTTCCAATTTTTTTTCTCTACAATTTTACATCTGTGTTTCCTTTTTTTTATACGCAATGTATACATGTAGTTGACAAGTCCTAACTTACATGTCTATATTCCTTGATGTCAAGTTGAGACTTATAGGCCTAATAAGGATCTATACAGTGGGGATTGTCCCAACTAGGGTCAAGGCCATTGCTTCAGTGTGGACATAGGCCTACATGTAACATTACCGTACCTCAGCGTACGATAATCCATAATTGTCACTCAGTGCAAATATTGAGAAAAAATATTTAATTTGGGACTGAGAAAAAGATTTTGAATCATGTTCGAAAATACTTTTTAAAATATTCTCAGGACTCCCCACAGGTTCTGAGAAAAACAAATTTAATTTGGGACTGAAAAAAAAATTCTGAATCATGTTCGAAAACACTTTTAAAAATGTTCTCATGACACCCTGCAGATTCTGTCAACAATTAATAAAGTCTGATAATCCATAATTGTCACCCAGTGCAAATATTTAAAACAAAAAAAACATTTTATTTGGGACTGAGAAAAAAATATCCAATTATGTTCAAAAACTTTTAAAAATGTTGTCATGACACCCCACAGGTTCTGAGAAAAAAAAATTTAATTTGGGACTGAAGAAAAGATTTCGAATCATGTTCGAAAACACTTTTAAACAAGTCAGGTGTGTTTACAAACACAAATGCCCCGCAACCGTGACTGTTTCCATGACATAACACCACTCTAACATCAAATTACATGTACCTTGGTCAAATGGAACGTTCATTGACAGCATTAGTGTCTTCTGTAGGTTTTATATAATAATTAATCACTAATCCCTATGATCTCAGAATAAATACAAGATTTCTATTGTTTTAGCCACTGTGACCTTGACCCTTGACCTTTCGACCCCCAATGCGATAGGCTCCTTAGGATTGCCAAGGACAATCCACAAACCAAATTTGAAGTTCATATGTAAAGTATATCTCAAGTTATCGCGCTGACAAAATTTCTTTTGTTTTTGCCACTGTGACCTTGACCCTTGACCTTTTAGCCCCAAATGCAAAAGGCTTCTTAGGATTGCCAAGGACAATCCACAAACCAAATTTGAAGTTCATATGTAAAGTATATCTCAAGTTATCGCGCTGACAAAATTTCTATTGTTTCAGCCACTGTGACCTTGACCCTTGACCTTTCGGCCCCAAATGCAATAGGCTTCTTAGGATTACCAAGAATAATACACAAACCAAATTTGAAGTTCATATGTAAAGTATTTCTCAAGTTATCGCGCTGACAAAATTTCTTTTGATTTAGTCACTGTGACCTTGACCCTTGACCTTTTGGCCCGTAATGTAAAAGGCTTCTTAGAATTGCCAAGGACAATCCACAAACCAAATTTGAAGTTCATATGTAAAGTATTTCTCAAGTTATCGCGCTGACAAAATTTCTATTGTTTCAGCCACTGTGACCTTGACCCTTGACCTTTCGGCCCCAAATGCAAAAGGCTTCTAAGGATTACCAAGGACAATCCACAAACCAAATTTGAAGTTCATATGTTAAGTATTTCTCAAGTTATCGTGCTGACAAAATTTCTATTGTTTCAGCCACTGTGACCTTGACCCTTGACCTTTCGGCCCCAAATGCAAAAGGCTTCTTAGGATTACCAAGGACAATCCACAAACCAAATTTGAAGTTCATATGTTAAGTATTTCTCAAGTTATCGCGCTGACAAGATTTGTCCGGACACACACACCCACACACCCACCCTTGTTTCACATGACTAGTGTGGACTTTCCATTGTTTTCGTGTAGTTAAGAAAAACCAGTGAAAAAACTCATTTTTCTCAAACTGTGAAAACTCTTTCAACCCAATTTTTTTCTATGATTCCCTTTAGTGTTTCTCTTCATTCTGCTACAGATAAACCTAACCCAAAAATGCCTCTAAACCTGTTTTCCAGAAATGGGGAAACACTGTGTGGACGTGGGGTAAGTCCACACAACGTCGGTGCTACCTACATTATGTGGACGTCTTTTGTTCGGAAGTCCACACTGCGTATGTAAGACAAACTCACCCACCCACACACACACCCACACACCCACCCACCCACCCACCCACCCACCCACCCACCCACCCACCCACCCACCCACGGAAGGACAAGGCGAAAACAGTATGCCCCTTCGGCTTCGCCGCGGGGCATAAAAATGTTCTCAAGACACCCCACAGATTCTGTCAACAATTAATAAAGTCTGATAATCCATAATTGTCACTCATTGCAAAGATTAATTTCACAGGGAGTTTAGTCCACTTACTATCTGTAAAAGGGGAGTGTGTGGCCTAGTGGTTAGGGTTCGTGACTCATGACCAGAGAGTCCGGGGTTCGAATCCAGCCGCTGGTCATATATTGTGTCCTTGGGCAAGGCACTTCAACCCCACTTGCCCCTCTCCACCCAGGAGTATAAATGGGTACCGGCATTAGCTGGGGAGTAACCTGTGATGGACTAGTATCCCATCCAGGGGGAGTAGAAATATTCTCAGTCGTTTCATGCTACTGAAACCGGAGATAAACGCCGGCCTGATGAGCCACAAATGGCTCGGGACAGACTTTACTACTTTTTTACTATCTGTAAACCAAGTACATTTTTCAACAATAATACGCGAGTTACTTTTTCGGATGCCTGCAAATGATGGACTATAGCTTTAACCCCACCCCACCATGTACATGCTGTATATGTTGTGGTGTACACCTCCCCGCCCTCACCCCTGCACCCAGCCCAGGAGACCACATGGCCTCCTGTCACTATTAAAGCAAGGTTGTTTTCTAGTCTTTCCAATAATACACACTCAATCCAAACAAAATTAAGAACAAAACTGTTACAAATATCAGCATTTTAAACATTAGGCAGGCCTACTTAAGTTGTAGTACTTGATTTGCACAATTGCACAAAATGTTTATTACTGTTAACCTTTGCATTTGTATAAACTACAAAATGAAATTAAAGACTGCAGTAGGCCCACTGTCATGACTGTGCAGTACGGAAAAAAATGTTGCAACCTGATGCCATTTTTTTCATCATTATCATCACAATGAAGGTCAGTCATTGCAAAAAATGATGAAAAGAGTTAAGACATGAATCTGGGAGTGAGTGGGACTGAGAAACATTTCCAATTTTGTTAAAGGGAATATACAACATTTGCAAACATCGAAAAATAAAACTACCAAGTTTTTGCGAAATACCTTAATAGGATGTTGGTAAATGACAGTCTAAAGCATCCTGTAAAATTATGGCACCTGGTATACTGTCATTTTCAAGAAAAGTGGTATTTTTGTATCAATTTCCAACGCTGATCGGCCGATCAGCGTTGGAAACAACTGGCTTTTTTTCAAATACTGGCCCCAATTGACCATTGCACTTGTTTGCAATCGATTACAAACCTATGAACGGGTACGGGCCAGCTAGACTGGTTCCCTGACCTTACAATTCCCCAATGTATGTAGACTGCTCTGTTTCTTCTTATATGGAGTCAGGGAACCAGACTACAGGAAAATGATCGTTTTTCTTGCTTTTTATAGCATTTTCGAACCCAAAACCTCCAAAAAGTCAGTGTAACTATATTTGCTATATATTTCCAACCCCCCAATTCCATCCATTTCTGAAAATTACAGCAAAAGCAAATGATGTATACTCCCTTTAATGTTAGGAAATACTTTAAAAATGTTCATGACTCTCCATAGAATTTGGACACAACCTCTGAAGTGACGTCAGGTTGCAACATTTTTTTTTCCTGCAGTGAATGCAGGGCTCTTTTCAATAATAACTGTTAGTGTTACCATGGAGCTATCCTTTTTATAGCTCCATGGTGTTACACACACATTCTTCTCCAAATATCTTTGCATTTGAAATAAATGCGGGCTGAAGATGAACAGATGAAGGGGGCGTGGCATACTTCTACTATTCTAGTTCTAGAACTAGAAGGTTCTAACTTTAATTGAGCATGCTTACTATTGATTGAATGATGCATGTTTGATGATAATGCCTAGGCCTTTAGTGTAGGCCCTATCAAGATGACATCAATGCCTATTTTAATATTTCCGGGCAAGCAATGTGACTTTCTCCTCATCTGACGATTGCTGCAAAGAAATAGGCAGGAATAACCAGGAATTATCCTAGTCCGAGTAACTTGGACCCAACTTATCGCCTTTTTTAACATTTGGACATGGTCTGGCGATAGCTTACTATCGCCAGACCATGTCCAAATGTTAAAAACGGCGATAAGTTGGGTCCAAGTTACTCGGACTAGAATTATCCCACTTTTACTTTTACTAAAACTGCCAATTAGAACTGTATAACTATAACCATCCAAAAAAATTGTTGGGGTATAAAGATCCCGATCCGAACGCTGTCCACTGGGCCCAATTTTGCTTAAGCACGAAAAATCATTGCTTAGTAAAATTACGTTACCGGCCAAAACTCCACCATGTGACTGGTATTTAGCTGTTGTTTACTTTACTTAGCATAACAATCGCATGGAGTTTTGGCCGGTAACCTGATTTTATTAAGCAAGACGTTTTTTAGACCCGTGAACGTGGCTTGTAAACTACAACGCCACGTTCACGGGTCTAGACGTTTTTGTGCTTAAGCAAATTTTGTGCTTAAGCAAAGCAGCTCTATGAAATTGGCCCCTGGCTGTGAAAGTGATCAGGCTTGTTTACATGATGTACGTGCGCGTGATGGATGTGAAACAGCGTCGAATTTCAACATCATACTCAGAAATTTATTAAAAATAAAAGCCATAACTACCGAAAATTCCCAATTCCGCCGAGTCCGCCATTTTGAAATTATCGATCACGGGACTTACCGTAAACTTTGTCTGTGCTCGTATCAAGGGGGGTCTTTTTCATGACATTGGCACTGAACAAAACAACAATCAGGAAACGTATTCGGGCGTGAGTTAGTCAGGTTCCTGCATCCCCAGATAACGTTTGGGATAATATCTTAGACAAAGAGTCAAGGTCCCGTGCAATAACTTGTGACATGTGATTTTCACGAGCTCAGCCCAATGATCAACCGCTATTTTCGTTTTCAATCAAAATTTCGTGTTTCGGTTTCAGTTTACTTGGATAGCGCCCGTTTGTACAAATTAGATACAACAGCAAATTAAAGTCCAACCACGGATCCGTGGTCCATCAACCAAAGTCCATTGAGGACAAAGGTCAAAGTTCATACACATGCTGGAAAGAAAAAGAAAGATGGCGGAGCCCACGACTAGTAAAAGTGAAAATGTTTTGGGTCAAAAATGGGACAAGTGCGTATCGGACACGTTACTAAAAGTTGGTGAGTGGACTGATCCTGATTCTGGGACCATCCTTTACCTGATCATTGCATTATTACTTTGCAGGGGATTCAGATGACCGAGTAGGACTAGTTTTGTTAACGAGATCGCCAGCATCGATGGCCGGGTGCCGGTCACGTACCCGGTCGCCTCGCAATAATGTAGTGTCTTTGCATCATGTTCGTTCTCTTATTAATATAAACAATGAAGCTATAAAATGATTGTGTACAAAGTGTATGGAGAGTCAAGAAAATGTTCTTAGTTGTATTTCCTAACATGCAAATGTTTCTTACACAGTCCCATTCATGTCTTATCATTTTTGCATCAATGAATGTCATGAATGTCATGAATGTCAACCTTCATAAGTTCATGATAATATGAACGATGAATATATAGGGCCTATGATTATTAATATTATTAAGGAAAATGTGGCGTCAGGTTGCTACATTTTTCCAAACTTTTTTATGACCTTTTCTACTTTTACAGTTTCAAACTTTCAGCATGAGTGCATTTTAATTCAGACTCTTTTTTTTTTTAAGTTGGAACATTTGTTCAATAGCTATTTCAGCGGAATTTTTTTTTTTATTTGCTGCATAATTTTATTGAATTAAAACTCAAACCAGTCATTTTATTTGTTTAGACATCATCAGATCATGCATTATTTTCACTGCCGGAGCTTAGAAGTACATTGCATGTCGGTATTTGAAGCAAAGAAAAAAAAAAAAAACAGTTAAAAATTTGTAGGTGTATCCCTGATGCAAATTCCATCTTACACTTAATTATACAAATATTGTGTGGCTCATATAGTGAAATGGGAGGAATATTATCGCAAGGTAAAATCTGGACTTTTCCATTTCACAAGGCGAAGCCGAGTGAACTGGAAAAGTCCAGATTTTACCAAGTGATAATAGGCCTCCCATTTCACAATTTAAAGCCACTCAATATATTTGTTTTATTTTTTATTATTATTCTGGTTAAAAAAAAAAAAACCAAGTTGGCAGCCACTATAATGTGTCTGAAGAGACCAGCTTACAATACTATAACATTATGTATACATATAAAACAGATGTATGACATATTCAGTTATATAAAATGTATTTCTCTTCCAAACCGCCCCTTCACGAAAAATGTTTGAACCCAACGCTGTAGTGCTGGCTCTTTGAAACATTACGCACTACGTTCTATGCGCAACGCTGAATGCGCACACCAGCATGCATTTGCACACAAATACCGTCGTAATGGAACAAGAATGATCCTAAACTGTTCAATACTACATGTATTTCCCATTCCCCATGGGCGGATAATACTTTTTGAGCCATGGCGTGAATGGGAGCACTAACAAATGTCATGTGATATGAGTTCCACCAATCAAGAGACAAGGATCTGTATACATACAAAATAACAACATTATGAGTTTGCTGTCAGTCTCACTTTCATTTTTTTGTTGCGTTTTTTTGGCTACAGGAGGTGGTCTTGGCCTTGGAGTTATTTTCTCAGTGTTCCTGTTTAAAAGTAAGTACATGCACTTTGTTTTTGCAACTTTTATAACTATTGCTAAAACATCCGAAAACCAAACTACCAAATTTTTACGAAATACCTTACTAGGATGTTGGTAAATGAATGTTTAAAGTTATGGCACCTGGTGTGAAGTCATTTTCAAGAAAAGTGGTATTACGTTTACATTTCCAACCACCGTTGGAAAAACCTAACTATTTTTCAACTACTACTCCAAATTTAACATTTTTTTTTCAGTCCGAATTTTGTTTGCTATTGGTTACATGTTCATGAACGGGTGCAGGCCAGCTGGATTGGTTTCTTTACCTTAGTGGAGTCAGGGCACCAGACTACTTGAACATTTTTTTGTTTGTTTTTCTTGGTTTTTCCAGCGTTTTCAAACACAAACCTTCAAACTTGTCAGTGTAACAATATTTGATCTACATGTACAATGTATTATACTATTCCCCAAACAGTTCATTTCTGAAATTTACAGCAAAAATCAATGATGTACTTTCCCTTTAATTTAATGTAACTTTTATTTTAACAGTAAACAAATCTGGCTGACATTTCCAAAATAAATTCTCTTATTTCCTAAGATGCTTAAATCCATTATTGCTTAAATCTCCATGTACCTCAAACAAGACACATCCAATGTAAACTTCAGCAACTGAAACTTCTCACTCATCAAGTTCTTTTCAGCCAAAACAAACTTGAACGCAAAGGCATGAATAATTGTGGCCGCCAAGTTTATACCCTTCTTGGGTTTGATGTTGAGGAAGACTTTATATCACAATCTCACAAGGGGCAACTAGCCCAGGCCTCTGCTGTTTAAAGTGGTTGGATGTTCAGCAAATTTAGGGTCACATACAGGGCGAGTAAAAAAAAAAGGAACCCAAGAACACAGAATTATAGGCCTATTTCATTTTTTTTTTTAAATGTGTAGCACCAAAATTAATTACAATATATGACTTACACAGAGATGCCCATTTATTTAACTACTGTTAATTGAGACAATTATTTGAATTACTTGACAAGTTAAAATTTTCTCACTATTTAAACAAAGTTACCCTCAAATCAGTTTGCTAAAAAAAGCAATTTATTGTGTGTTTTGACTGTTTGGAACAGCAAAGAAAATAGCACAGAATACTTGTTTCAACAACTGTAGTACACAATATCTTTGCAATATATTAACAAACCTGCTTTGGCTAACAATGTGATATATGAAATTCACTTTTTTGTTTTTAAATATGAGCCTTCAGAGGGACTTTGTTGAATATTTTTAACTTCTGTACTGAGGTTTTATCGCTGATGATGTTTGAAGACAATTGTAACGAGAATTCTTGAAAAATTGCATTTTTGGACGAAACAGATTTTAGGGTCATTTTGTTTGAATTGTGATATTATTTGAACGGATTGAGCAATTGAAATATTTTTTTTTCAGTTAAAAGTAGTTTAACTTTAATACATTGGCTTACCAGTCATAATTATTTTTGGTGCTACGGATTTAAAAAAAAAAGAAAAAAGATTTAAATATGAAATGTATTTCTTTGGGTCTAGGATCTGCATTTTCTGACTCACCCTGTACACGTACATGTACATTTCTAGGTTGTATACACGTTTTTTTCAATGAGCATTTGATATCATGTCTTGTTGTATTGCAGGGAAGTTATGGCCCATCCACATGGGAGGTGGCATCGGGCTGGGGATGGGCATAGCCAACTGCAGCCATTTATTCAAGGATCCTTACAATGTGCAAGGAACGATTGTTAAGGTACATTTATTTATCTTCTCATCAGGATATTATAAACATGGGCATCGCCAGGATTTTTTCTAGAGGGGGGGTAAAGCCCATGTTTTCCCAAAATCATTATATTTTCCAGCATTTTCCCAATTGATAATTTTTTGGAGGGTGGGCAGAAACATTTGCCCCCCCCCCCCCCACCCATTAAATTAACAATATGATTTCACGTCTCTTTTTCTTTCTTTTTATCCCTTCTTTTTATCTCTTTTTTTTTTTTTTTGCTTTTCCAGAGGGGTGCAAGTGCCCCCCTTGCCGCCCCCCCCCCCCTCGTGACACCCATGATTATAAGCCTACATGTAGTCATTATTTGTGAAATCCTTTGGAGTATTTGTACACTTACAATGGAGTAGTTGAGATTATCTGAGAAAATCCGCCCATTTCTAGGGCTGTCCCAAATATTTGAGTATTCGATCATTAATTGAATATACTCATATAGCTTTTTGCCAGTTCGATTAATCGAAAAGAGAAAACTACAAATGTATGCACGTGTGCACATGACTGTGGAGTCATTGTAATCCTAAAGTTGCGTTCTTATTGTCAGATGATACTTTTTTGTGGATGGTAACTTTCTTGCATTTATTGTTCCTATTCTGTTAGCTGGGTAAAGCTTTGGGCAGTTATACATGTACATGTAGTACATACTGCATTTGCAAAATAATTCTAGCGTTTCATAATATCCGTCCCTGCATGTAAATTTTAACCGGTGAGCTTTGTATGCAACTTTTGACCAGCGAGGAAGGCAGTTGTAGCTGGCTGGCATGTGTTAAACTTGGTTGGAAAGTTTTGAAAATTCAAATATTCGCTCAAGTGCAGTTTCGAATAATCGATTACCACAAACAGACAGCCTTACCATTTCCATGATTCCAGAAAGGTTTGAATATTTTTTTTCCAATTTGCCACGTTATTTATCTTTGAAGTTACAGAATCAGAAATTTCATTTACATTTATTTCTGTATCGATGCTCTGAGTTGTGCTGGTCCAATTTTCTTGGATTTCATTTTTTTTCTCTCCCAGGTGCTGAAAGACAAACCACAAGAGCCAAGTGCAAGTCCTGAAGCTACCACAACGATTATCACAACAGGAGAGACAACTAATTCCTAAGATTTAGCTAAAGCACTTTTACATTAAGAGATTACTTGTATATCAATTAGTATTCGTTGTTTTTTAATTTTATTTGACTGCGAACACATTAGTTTTAAAGAGGTTGTGGAATGCTCGAAGACATTTCCGTCATTTTTCGGGTATGTGTAGCCTAAGGTGTGATGAAATAAAAACGACTATTGTGTCTGTCATGAAATGAGTACTAAAGGTACTTTTGAGAGCTGTTTTTCAGGTCGTGTTTCGACCCGAACGTGCAATTTGTGTAAAAGTCGTCGTTGGGGGCAGCAAACAAAACATAGTAAATCGTGACGTAATAAACAGGACTCCCGATGCAGCGTAGTATACACGAGCATTCCACAACCTCTTTAATGTAAATGTGTGTTGCACAATGTACATGCTCTTTTTGGGGTACATATCCATGCAGTTGTTCTGCTTGTGTTACAGACACTATCACAAATGCAAATATGACATGAACTTTGTGCTGTGCACTCGTAAACCCATTGAACTTTACCAAAGTACGGCTGATTATATCAGATAACGGCCGGATCTTTTTTGATAGACTTGTAATATGCAGGGGTGTGAAACCTCAGCTTTAAAGCTGATTTCAGCTTTTTTTGTTTAAGATTTCAGCTTTTTCCCTCACTTGCTGTGTACAAAAGTATAGGAGATTTACAAAGTTCAGCTTTTTTACACCTTTTCAGTTGTTTTCAGCTATTTTTATCAGTGGTCACTCACACCCCTGAATATGGGACGAGCATTTCGTTTGTTTGAAATGGCAAAATATTGTCTCACTTGAGAGAACTGGAGGCCAACTTTGTAGATCTGCTAATAAGCACATAATAATAGATCAGCAAGTTTATGTGCTGAGCAAAAAAGACAAAAGATATCAGCAGAACACTGATTACTCCCAGTATACATCATTTACTTTACATGGCAATTTGAACTGGTAGCCTGTGTTAATTGCTTAGCCAATCTTTTCTGTGCTTAACACAGTTTCTTGCCTAGGCGATGACCATCAAATTCATTTTACACAACCATCTTTTGCTAAAAATAATTTGTTAAAGTGGTCAAAACTTGCCTCAGATCACACACGGATCATCTAGAATTCAAACATTTTGTGGGGCCCACAAGTGAGCCCCGGACCCTACATCGTAAATGTTTGATTCTATTTGGGGGGGGGGGATTTTTTTAGGGCCCCCCCCCATTTATTTTGTTCTGGGTCTGCCCTTGCTGTAGCCAAATACCACCTGCGTAATTGACATAATTCACATACATGAATCCTGGACTGATGGCTCCTCACAAACTTTCTTTGCACATAAACCTGTTGAGTTTTCTTCAGCTTTGGTTTTCAAAAGAAGTGACATTTTGGTTGTCTTGGCAAGTTCTGTTCTCCATTATTTTTATAAGAGAGGTTTGATGTGCGTAAATTTGTCTGTCTAGAATAGTGAAGGAATGTTGACATGTAACCAGGAAGATATGTCAAACTCATTGCATGATTCTATCTGAAATGCAAACTGATGGCTCGTACAAAGTTGCTTTGCAGTTGCACAAAAAAGGTGCCGAGTTTTCCCCCTGCTTTGGTTTTCAATGAAATGATATTTCTTTGCTTTTGTTCTTCAGTTGTTTGTAAGAGAGGGTTTGATGTCCATTGTGTTTAGAATACAGGCACCGGCCGATTATATCTCTTTTTTACTGACTTCCCATATGTGCCATTAAAAATAGAAAAGGACTGTAGAAAATCTTGGAAAGATTTCAATTTCCTAATCTTTTTGGGACTTTCCAGTCGCCTGCCTGAGAATAATGAAGGACTGTTGAGTGAACCAGGAAGACAATGTCAAACTCTCTGCATGATAATTATACTAGTTGAAGTGTGTACTGCCGATTTGACAAACTGTATTGATAGTAAAAATGAAAGTGAAGGGACTCCTTAAGTTTTTTTCACGGCTGTTGTTTATACATCATATGTGACTTCCGGCTTGATATGCGTGTTAACGTTTTGAAACCTGCTCAAGATATAAAAACAAAAGCAAAGGAGATACATGTAGGGTATTACTGGATATCCAAGAAGTTGCGGTGGCGCGCCTTTCTTTGTGGGGGAAAGTGGTAGATGTGGCTAGTGGCGTATCATGGGGCACCCCCCCCCCCGGCGGATTTTTTTTTTTTTTGGGGGGGGTAACTTTTTCCATAAATGGTATAGAGAGGTCTGACACGAACGAAAAATAAAGAAACAAAGCAAAATGAGGCTTTTGATTGTTCCCTCCCCCCCCCCGCCCCGACATCAAAAGCCGGATACGCCGCTGGAGCTTGATGTGACCATGTAGAAAATAATTTAAACAAATCCGCGTCTATCTTGAAAATGAGCCTTGTGAAAAGCAGGCTCTCGTTTTTAAATTGCCATGACAATTCAGGTTAGTTTTTGGTATACACATTACCGATACAGTTTGAAGTGTGAAAACCATTTTAGTTTATTTGTTGAAAAAGAAAATAATGACAATGTAAAGTTCAGGAACTTCGGGTTCATCTCTGTTTATAGCCTCTTTTTTTTCTCTCGGACTGTAATGAATTGTTACTTTGTATTGAATAGAGGGCGCCCGATTGTTTACATTCATTGTTGGCCTTACGATTGCAGGCCAACAAAAAATTTAAAACTAGGCCCGGAATTGCGTATGCGGGGCGGCCAAATCACGATTTGCATGCCCTATTTTTATTAGAACATTTTGTGGGCCGTGAACTTGAGGGTTTGTAAAACAAAAAAAATCAAAGTAGAGTGGAAGGCGTGAACAGAACTAGCTTGTAAGTTTCTGTGAAATTCGGATGACATTCTCTCTAAATTCCAAAGAGTGAAATTAGGGACTAGACGTTTTAGAGTGAAACATTTTCGATTGAAATAGTCTGAAAAAAAACAGAACCACTTAAGTCGAAGCTCGACTGAAAACTCGATCTTTACGACTGAAGAAATTTTACTCGTCTAGTCCCCAGTTTCCGACTTTGGGAGTGAATCTTCACTCGAATGGAGTGAATTTTCACTCTTCGGAATTTAGAGAGTTTGGCCCTAAAGTGGCTCTATTTACAATGGAGCGCAGTCATAGTTGAGGCTATATAATATAGCCTCAACTATGACTGCGCTCCATTGTGGCGATGGGCTTCAGGACTTCTTTTAGAGGTTATCATCTTTGGATGGAATTTTCTCCCAAAATTCATTGGTCAACCCCCAAAAATTGATCATAAAATGAGAGATGATGAAATAAGCTTTAATTTGATGTGTCTCTCAAACACGTTGGAGAGGTGTGCGTATTTTTCCTGAATTTCGGAACTGGGCCTATTTATCACTAGTAGTTTATTTACTAATCTGCAAACTTTTGTTTACTAGGGATAAGTTGAAAGGGATTATGTAATGGCGCCCTCTTGTGAAAAACGCATAAAAGTGACGGCGGGAAGGCATTCGATCCTACGAAAGGGACAAAACATTTGATCATCAAAGTTGTTACTAAGGGAGCATGCAGGGCAAGTTGTTTCTTTTCTTCTTTTTGTTACTAAGGGGGCATACAGGGAAGATTGTTTCCCTTCTTTTTTTGTTTGTAAGGAAACGAAAGCGTCAGCATCTCCCAGCCTCTAGTCATCTATACTAGTACATTTGTAATATGTTTCCCGTGGGCGCGTAGAGGAGGCTGGGGAAGAGTGCATGATGTTTCACCCCGCATTGATATTTGTTGCAAAAGTCCCGTATAGTCTGCAATATCGTGTGCCTGTCCGCATGTTTTTGGTATGCCTCCACAAATAGCGCCACCTATTGTGCGATAGTGTTCAACAAATCGTCTTATTTATGAATTTAACGAGTTTTTTTTAACAGCGTCCAGGCATCCCCACTCTAGTCAGATGGTGTTAAGCAGTCTGTATATCTTCCATGCATGGATTCAAAACAGATAGAGCTATAGAAATCCGAGCCTGAATGCTTGGTCAACATCACTTTACTTGTTTTTGGTTTCTCTTGTTATCCTCCATTTTGCTATATGTGCGTCGATTGCAATAAACATCGAGTCAGTAAGACTATACAAACTATTAGTATTATTAATTTAAATACTTATGATCAGTGGCGTAAATCTGTGCCGGGGACTGGGGGGATGGGGGATGACTAAAATCACAAAATTTCCCGGCCGTGGGGGGGGGGGGGGGGGGGGGGGGGGCTTGCTTGACACCACATGACACTAGGGGGCGCTGTTCATGATACAGATGTGCATCTTAGGTATAATTACGCCCCTTAACCTTACATCAAAATGGCACATTTATAGCTTTTGTACTTATTTTCCCTTTTACAGTGATACTATTTTTTTTTGGGGGGGGGGGGAGGTTTTCTCAACACGAAAAAGTGGGGATATGATCCAATGGCCAATCCCCCTGGTCAAAAAGTAGGGGGGGGGATATATACCCCCTCCCCCCCCCCGGATTTACGCCCCTGCTTATGAACACAGCAGACGGTAGTTTAGATGTGTTGATCTAACTGTCCATCTAACTGTTGCTTTTCGGTTGCTGGTTTTTTTTCCCGCATGCAATGGGTTCCGTAGAGTCAACATTTCTACCTTAGCCATACACCCTGTTATGAACACATGCGGGACCTTACTTTAGGAGGCCATGGCCAAAGGATTCAAGGAATATTGGAGGAAAGCCTCAAATGCATGCAATTGGATATTGCGACTTGATGTTGCTTGACCACTTGGTATGGAAATCCTGCTATAGAGGAAGTTTAGAGTCATGAAGTTTACGGACCGATTATTGTTTTAAAAAAAAAAACTAAAAATGGAACTGAAAGCACAAAAAATGGTATTATAACCCCCGATTTTAACCAATGTTTACCAATTGACGAAAAAGAGCGTGGGACTTGACTAAAGGCTAGGTGGGGGGACTCCTTTTGTTCCCCTCCCCGACCTATTAAACTGGATACGTTACTGGATCTAGCGTGTTTTAAGGTACAGTGACCCAAAGCGCTCTAACCAGATACAAGACATATTGGCATTCGTACCATAAATAACATCCATCAACAATCGAGAACTAATGTTTCCATTTATAACTTAGGCAAAAATTGA